GCGCTCTGCAAGGTCTCCGTTGGGGGCGCCGACGCTGTGGCCACCCCTTTGTGGCCGCCAAGCTTCGAAAAGCCGTCAAGGCACCCGGCCGAAGGACTACTAACACCTCGAGCCTTTTCGGAAAGTGCTTTCGCCTTGGAGACCATCCCTGCCAGACATCCTTGCTCCAGGGCTAGCGCCAAGGATAGCCAGAGCGCGTCGGGTAGCGACGGGTGCGGAAGCCGAAACAGGGGCAGAGCTCGTGCCAGTCATGGCCACGAGTTGCCCCGAAGCCTCAATGGCACGTTCGATGTGGCCGCAGCGCCCTTCGTTGAGGAACGTCCGGCAATCGCAGCCCGCTTCTTCCGCTCCCGCACCTAGCTTCACCAAAACTCGGTGGGCTCCGGGCTTCGTCTTCGAACCGACCTCGAACACCGCTTCTCGGCCTTCGAGGGAGACCAGAACAGCAGTAGCAAAAGGGTTGCCGTTCATGGCGTGCATGAGTCGATTAGTGGAAGCAGAAAGGGGGCACACGCCCTTCGGGGTAGGACCCGACTTGACGGTCACCATGCCTTCCGGGACCGCGGGCCGCTTCGGAGGCGGCTTGGGAGGGCAGTCTTCGCTGCCCACCGAGGATCAAACATGTCCGCCGGCGTTTGGTGAAGAGTGATCCCCGTCCCCGGTGCCTCCCATCGACGTCTTCCCCTGGGCCCGGCACGGCACCCTCGGGGTCACCGGCCGGAGCCGGCCCGGACGTCTGGCAAGTCGGCCCGTGCCGTGGGCGGCCTCTTGTAGCGGATGACGTCTGGCGGGGGATCCTCTCCGCGCTCGGGCTCCGCCACTCCAGGCGCCACCTCAGGGGGCCACCTTCGGAGTGGGCTTTGGCTTGCCCTCTCTTCCGGATGGTGGCCGGTCGTCAACCGTGCGGAAACGGTGCAAGGCTGAGGACCTTCTTTAGGCGGTCCTGGAGGGGGCCCCTGGAGGCATGTCCGTGGAGGACGCTGCCTTACCGCTGTGTAGCCCCCGAACTTCAACTTTCAAATCGGGAGACGAAGCTTCGTCCCCGATGTAGTAGCTGACAGGGCCGGCCCCTCCTGGCGGTGCCGATTGCTCTCTGCGGACTCCGGTCCCGGGCTCCGCGTCGTCGACCCATCGGAGCACGTTTCCGTGACGCTCAGCCAAGGAGAGATCAAACTCTTCCCGTCCCGGCTGGGCCGTCATAATCCGCAGGATGCATTCCGGCGGCACACGGCCGGTAAGGACGCATCCGTCCGTGCCCCTCCAGACATGGACCTCGGAAAGCCTCAGGCGCTCGAGGTTGGTTACAACGAGACAGGACAAGTTTTTCCGAAAACCCGACGTCGTGTCTCGCTGCATTGGGTATTTGCAACTATTAGCAATTCTTAGCAATTGTTGGCAATTGTTGGCAATTATTAGCAATTATTAGCAATTATTTGCAACTATTAGCAATTATTAGCAATTATTAGTCTTAGCAACTCTTAGCAATTATTAGCAATTATTAGCAATTATTAGCAATTATTAAACAATTATTAGCAATTATTAGCAATTATTTGCAACTATTAGCTTTTTTTGCAATTATTAGCAATTATTAGCAATTATTAGCAATTATTAGTAATCATTAGCAATTATTAGCAATTATTTGCAATTTTTTTTTGCCATTATTAGCAATTATTAGCAATTATTAGCAATTATTAGCATTTATTAGCAATTATTTGCAACTATTAGCAATTATTAGCAATTATTAGTCTTAGCAATTATTAGCAATTATTAGCAATTATTAGCAATTATTAACAATTATTAGCAATTATTAGCAATTATTTGCAATTATTAGCAATTATTAGCAATTATTAGCAATTATTAAAAATTATTGGCAATTATTAGCAAATATTTGCAATTATTAGCAATTATTTGCAAATATTAACAATTATTAACAATTATTAGCAATTATTAGCAATTATTAGCAATTATTTGCAATTATTTGCTGTGCCCGCGCCCTGTCCCCGGCTCCCTGCCCCACCATGACCTGACCTCTAATCCCCCCCCCTTGCCCCTGAACTCCACCCCCAACCCTAGAATCCAACTCCACCCCACCAACACCCCTGCCCCCACTCCACCCTCCCTTCCCCCCCATACCTCACTACCCATCCCCTTATCTAGGCCCCGTGCCCCCCACCCCACCACCCGCCACCAAGCACCCTCCCCCCGCCACGCCCACCACCCACACCCCCCCACCAACCACCACACACCACCAACCACACGCCACCCACCACCCATCACTACCCAGCACCCGCCAGTTTTATAATTTACAATCTTTTCATTATCCCTATCACCTTTTCATTATCATTATCACCTTTTTTATCATCCTTATTACCTTTTATCACCTTTCTTATCACCTTTAGGGTTTAGGGCCTAGGGTTTGGGCTCTAGGGTTTAGGGTTAGGGTTTAGGGACACATTTCAGGCCGGAAATGTGTCATCTTTTCCGCCTTACAGAAGGAAGCATGACACATTTCAGGCCGGAAATGTGTCATCGTTTCCGCCTTACAGAAAGAAGCATGACACATTTCAGGCCGGAAATGTGTCATCTTTTCCGCCTTACAGAAGGAAGCATGACACATTTCAGGCCGGAAAAGCCTTACAGAAAGAAGCATGACACATTTCAGGCCGGAAATGTGTCATCGTTTCCGCCTTACAGAAAGAAGCATGACACATTTCAGGCCGGAAATGTGTCATCTTTTCCGCCTTACAGAAAGAAGCATGACACATTTCAGGCCGGAAATGTGTCATCATTTCCGCCTTACAGAAGGAAGCATGACACATTTCAGGCCGGAAATGTGTCATCTTTCCGCCTTACAGAAGGAAGCATGACATTTCAGGCCGGAAATGTGTCATCTTTTCCGCTTTACAGAAAGAAGCATGACACATTTCAGGCCGGAAATGTGTCATCGTTTCCGCCTTTACAGAAAGAAGCATGACACATTTCAGGCCGGAAATGTGTCATCTTTTCCGCCTTACAGAAGGAAGCATGACACATTTCAGGCCGGAAATGTGTCATCTTTTCCGCCTTACAGAAGGAAGCATGACACATTTCAGGCCGGAAATGTGTCATCGTTTCCGCCTTACAGAAAGAAGCATGACACATTTCAGGCCGTTTTCCGCCTTACAGAAAGAAGCATGACACATTTCAGGCCGGAAATGTGTCATCATTTCCGCCTTACAGAAAGAAGCATGACACATTTCAGGCCGGAAATGTGTCATCGTTTCCGCCTTACAGAAAGAAGCATGACACATTTCAGGCCGGAAATGTGTCATCTTTTCCGCCTTACAGAAAGAAGCATGACACATTTCAGGCCTCCCCCTGTTCCATTGCCCCCTCTCCTACCATCCCTGCCTTCCCCACCTCCTCACCTTTCCCTCCCCTTTGCCATTTGCTCCTGCCCCCTGCCATCTCCATCATATCCATCACCCCCATCATCTTCTTCATCTCCATCATCTTCATCATCTCCATCATCTCCATCATCTTCATGATCTCCATCATCTCCATCATCTCCATCATCTTCATCATCTTCATCATCTCCATTATCTTCATCATCTTCATCATCTTCTTCTTCCACCGCAGCAAGGGACGAGATCCGAGCTAGCGCGCGCCGGCAAGAGCTAAGCTCTCGGTCACTCTGTGGTGACATGGCACGTGTGCCCTTATGGGCAGGGGAACATTCGCCGAGGCGCCTTGATTGCTAAATCATTCACAGGTCAGCTGATTGTAACCTGGTCAAAACTGTGGCTCTAGGACGAAAGTTAGATATAACTTCACTCATCAAGTGAGTGGAGAAAGCCTGCTGGAGTGTGAGGGCAGGAGTTGCTCACTTCGTCGGGGTTGAGCAGTGGTGCTCGCTGCACTTGCTCTCCCCGGCTCATTTCTATCTTCACGATGCGAGCTTTCAGCAGCTCGATTTGCGCTTCCTGAGTCCTCAGTTGTAGTTGCAGGTCGAAGAGGCGATGCTCGATCCACCAGGTCATATTCCGGCTGGTGCTGTGCAGATTCGCCATCTTGATTTCGTCTCTGAGCTACTGTGCTTGAGCTGCGTGGGTCAGCTACGGCATCTGCAGTTGATTGCCTTATCAAGAGCAAAAGATACATGCAGGACGAAGCTTCGTCAAGCTGCAAGTCTGAAGCTTTTGCAGCCCGGCGGGCGTCGTCCTGAACCCAGTATGTGTTCCCCTCACGAATCAAGGTCCTGTAGTGACCTGTTTCGAGATGCTCACCATGATGCGTGACGAGAGCTCGAACATCGTACGAGTCCCACCTGACATCCGTGGTTTCTGGCCCCACAAAACATGGTAGGAGCAGCTCGATCGGAATGATGTAGGCCTCGTGGCGTTTGCATGGTTGACCCTCTCGCAATTGTGTTCTCGGGAGCTGTATGAACAGCCAAGGAGGAGGGTCAATCATTGCATGTGCGGCTGATTGTTTGATGTGCCAATCACGGATTAAGTCCTGCACACACGGACTTTTGGGTTCGATGCTACTGAGGGACAGGCAAGAACTGAGCGTGCCTGTTTCCGGTCTGTAGAGCTCTCCTGACATTAATTGTCTCGCTTCCCATCGATGTTGCACGGTGTCTGGCATGAGTCTAGGTATTAAGAAGTCCGCTAGTTCAACAACATCGTGCTGCAAATGTGGCCTTCGCCACCCCATCAAGAAGAAGCCAAGCTCTGCCATTGCTTTTAGCGGCGCCGGCGGGACGGTCCGGAAGACTCTGGGTAGGATGTGCCTTTGCAGGTGCTGTTCCAATGCCGCTATGCAATAAACGAAGGAGTTAAGGTAGCAGTGATTATGGGGGTTATATAAGGTGAATCGGTGATTCGACACGGGATGTTGGGGTGGACTACGGCTACGGCCTGGGGTGTTAGGGGGCGGAGGGTGTGGTTTACGAACCGCGGAGAAGAAGTTATGTATGGTGCCCTTAGGGTGGGGGATGTGAGGGTGAATCGGGTGATTCATTGCGATCGGCCTGGGTAAACCAGCTGTGCTAGCTGCTGTGCCTGTGGCTGCCTTGGTCTGTCGTCTTTCTTCGTGGACATCCCCACCAGGTTGGTGACTGCATTCCCCATGAGCACTCCGAAGTTCATGTGAGCCTCGTCGGCTGTGGCACTGCGTAGCGAGATCTCCAAGTCGAAAACTGCTTGGGAGCTTCCTTCTTCCTCGATCGACCACATGGGCTGTTTCGATTTGAAGCGGTGGATAATCTCGCCCGTCATGCTGGCCTGGAGTTCCGTTATGGTCTTGATCATGGCGTCGTGCGTGACAGGGGTCCTTGCCTCGTTCAGCACCAGCCGTCTCTGTTGAGGGCTCCATTTGAGGTAGGTCCAGTGGCCCTGGGAGTCGATCCAGCCCATTTCCTTCAGGTTCGCTCGTCCCTCCTCTGTAGCAACCACCCTCTGAGTGCGCTGAAGGAGTTCCTTCAACAAACAGTTGATCAAGACCGTTCTGAGAGGAGACTGCAAGGCAGGGTCCGGCGTAGCTGATGTGGCTTTCTCCCTCCACTGGCGAGCCACTTCCATGAGATTCGGCACCAGGCTCTTCTCGTCCTGGCGGAAAAACATCACATATGATGTGTCTTTGCGAATGCTGTGGAGAGCTTCTTCGTGTTTCAACACTAGCTTGGAGATGATGTCGAGCTGTTGGTCCGCCATGGGATATGGCGGTGGCAGCTGAGGCACTGGCTGATGTGACATTGGTGGCTGCCACGGTGTCCGCGATGGCCTCTGTGGTGGACCCCATCCCGGTCCTCTCGGACGCTTGCTGGGCTGTGTCGCCCGGGTCGTCGTTTGCTGTGGGTCGGTCCCGTTCCCCACGCTCGCGCTGGCCTGTGCTGCCCCAGAGGGCATGCAGTGGGCGAAGATGCTCGCCTCCAGATCCGCGTATGTCATTCCGATCAAGAAGTGGGAGATGCAGACCTTGTTCGCAGAATTCTTTCGCGATCGCTAATTGGTTTAGGACCACACATTGGACTGAATGACGCCCTGGGGCTCCAACTTTGCTCTGGCACCACCGACACGATCTACCCCGCGTGAGGTGGCTCTTGAAACCTTTGCTAAGTGCAAGTGCAGCCGGCAGTATGTCGGGGTGTGTGGTATGGTGAACCTTGTTGTAATGTTGTCGGATGTGTTTAGGGTCTGCAATCCACATGTGACATAGAACACAATGTTCACTGAGCAGAGCTTTGGTAGCGGAGCATGATAGGTGTTTCTCCCATCTGGGCAGGTCCTCAAAGAAACATGCTCTAAGTGCGAAGGGCAATTCGTCCGGAAGATGTAGCGGTCTTTTTGTTTCGGACTCTGGCCCAGCATACTCGGGAGTCGCCTCTGTAGGCGGCTGTCGCTGCGCGCTAGGAAGAAGCCTGAGGGAGGCATTGTTGGGCGCAGGGGGGCTTAGCTTATGGCTCAAACCACCAAGGGTAGGGCAGGATTTTCGGGTGATGTGGAGTTTTAATTGCTGCCACTTCGTAAAGTTGCGAAGGCACAATCGGCATGTAGGCATGCCTGCTATTGAGTGTCGCACTGGATCAAAGCGGTACTCAGCGGCGGCTGGCTTATCCGCATCCTGATGGTGGAGAGAAATGTGGATGGATAAGGCATGCTGATTCATCACTTGGGCTTGGCAGTGCGGGCATGTAACAGCTTCAGCAGACTCGTCCGCTGCGGCCTGTGATGTAGCATTGTCGTTGGCGGATTGCATAGCGGCCTGAAGTGCAGTGAGGCTGGCGTGTGCAGCTTCGTTCGTCACTATGTCTGCACCAGTAGCGCGATGTGCTGGGTTCCGAAGATTAATAAGATTCGTAAGTTTTTCAAGAATGACCTGGGTGGGCTGTTTAAGCTGGGCAGTGGACCATATGTCTGCATTGCTAATGTGGGTGATGTGCGCCGGCTGCTTCAGAATGGCTCGAATGTGGCGTGTAGCAAGGACGAGAAGTCTCTTCACCCCAGATGGGGTCCAGCCTACGGCTTCAATGGCATAGCTTAAGCTGGGGGATATACAGGCATTCCAAAGTCGAAGCTTATGTCGAGTGGAGAGTGGCCCTTTGCCGTTGAGGATTCGCCTTATGAGTTGGTACTTGGTTTGGGCCGACTCAATACGATGGGATATATTGAGGTCCAGTCTGTGGTTGTAAGTGATGATCGTGCCTAGGTAGACGTGGGAGTCTCGAATGTGAAGGTGTTGCTCTGCGCCAAGGACAGTGAGTTTGAGATAAGTTTTGCCCTCTTTGGTGATCGTGTGTCGGGCTAGGATATCTTCTGCATCTTTGCCCTGTAGGGTGAGGAGCAGGGCGGTTTTCTGGTAATTCACCTTCAGCTTAAAGATAGTGAGAACTTCCAGCAGGAGCTCAAGGTCGCCTAAGTAAGGTGCTGGTGAAGTCATGGCGGTTTCGAATGGTCCATGTTCCACACCAGTCCTCTGCAAATAAGGTTATAACCCTATGCAGCCATTGAAGTCCCTTCTGCCTGGCGAGCTCTTGGAGAACTGTGATGCTGTAGCACAGCCATAGCACCGGGGCCACCCGACAGCCTTGCTTGATGCCATTTGTGGTGACAATGCTTCCGGTTTGGGATCGAATGTTGTAGTGATACCTGGCCTGCTTGTGGAGCTGCTGAATTGCAGCTACGATGTTAGGAGGAATGCCCTGTGCAAGGAGCGAGTCAGTGAGGCAATCACGGTCCACAAAGTCGAATGCCTTCGAAAGGTCTAAGCTGAGGCAGGCGCCTCCTGCACATCGTGATGGAGTGAAGCCCTGTCGCATGGTGAAGCGGTTGCTTTGGTTTTGCTGAAGTATTTGCTCGACCTCTTCAAAGTGTTGATGGACGCGGCGGATTGCGTCGACACAGCTACGGCCTGGGCTATAAGCGAATTGAGGGAGATGGTCAAGGAGTGGTGCTATGTGGTATTGGATGCGGGCTGCCAGGAGTCCGGCCACTAGTTTGGGAAAAGGCGGCATTAACCCTATTGGGCGGTGGGCATCTACTGAGGTGGGTGGCTTACTGGGCTTGGGCAGCCACACTACGTGTGTGTCCTTCATATCCCCCTCCAGCCGTGCAGTAGAGCCCGCCTGGAAATGCTGATTCAGCGCATTGCCCAGAGGCTGGTGGAGTGCCTGCGCGCAGTATTTCCACACAATGCTTGGAGCACAGTGGCTAGGGACCGCCTTACGAGGATGTAGGTGGGAGAGCTCGTACCACACTTCGTCCAGAGTGAGAGTCAGATCCTCTAGCAGGGGTAGCTGAGGTCGGCTGTCCGGTAGCTGGGCAAAAGTGGCTTGACCGTACTTGAGCACTGCTGCAAGTTCCGCCTTCTCAGTCATGATATTGCCATTCTCGTCTTTAAGGCGTGAGGCCACTCTGGCCTTTTTTGGGGCCGAGTCTTTTGGTAATCTGAAAAAGTTCCCGCAGGTTTCCTGAGGCAGCTGCTTTCTCAGCCTGCTGCAGCTGGTCTTGGTGGAATGCCACCTTGCGCTGTCGACTCTGTTGTCTAAGCTCCTTGGATGCCCGGTTGAAGTTGGACCAAGCTCGCCACCTTTGCCAGACGTTGGCCAAAGTAACAACACCTGGCCGTTTGAGCTCACGGTACAGTGCCCATGTGTGAGTGGCACTAGCTCGGAAGCCGGGGTTCGCACTGACCCTGTGGTCCACCCGGGCTCGCACCGGGAAGAGTCTGCTGGTTTCCTGCAGCAGTATGTCGTTGATGGCTTGGTGCGTGAGATGAATGGAGGCAGGCACCTCCAGTGCACTGACGCGAGCAGACACCGTCTGCTGCAGCAGCTGGGCCTGCGGGTCATCGGCTGCTATGGCTGCTTGTAGTGCGTTCCGGTCAAAGGCAGGCGGAGCCTTCTGGTCCTTCGGCATGTGCCGAAAGGGCCGAAGCTGCAGAGATGCCTGAATCGGAATGTGGTTGGAGAGGCGGTCACCCGTCACAGGGAATGCATTGACTGGGGATGAGAGTTTTGCCGTGGCTCCGGCATCTGCACTGCGTACTACAAGATAGTCTATTTGGCTCTTAGTAGAGGTATTAAAGAAGGTGTGGTGTGGGCGCGAGTGCCATGTGTTCACCGCACAGAGTTCATAGTCCTGCAGGATTTGCTGGAAGGTGGCATCGTGATGGTCGTGGGTGTCGGGATTAGGGACAGAAGGTCCTACATTGGGGTGAGCCTGGTGAAGGGTGGAGTTGAAATCTCCCCCCAAGACTATCTTATTGCGGGCAGAGATAGTGTCAAGAGCACTCTGTAGGGCGTGCCAGACTCCCTGCCGGAGTTTGCGATTCTGGGCAGCACTTAGCGTCGTGCGGTGCACGTGTTGATACAAACCTAAGACATCCACCGTGTGCTGACTTTTGGTGTGATACGCACGCACCTGCAACAATCTACCAGGAACATGCTCTTGGGCTGCAATGTTACGGAAGGCCTTGCGAGACATCATGATGAGGATGCCGGCGTACTTGTCCGGATTGTCCTTCGCTGCATGGCCGGAGCTGTGTATGCAGCTCCACTCTCCACTGCAGAAGTCCTCGGTGACTCCCCAATGGGTTTCTTGGAGGATGACAACATCCCATGTGCCGTTTGTGGCAAGCCAAGCCATTAATTCCTGAAAAATGTGCGAAGCAAGCCCTCCTACATTCCAGTTAAGTACCGACATGTTCGGAACCGGCCTGGAAGGGGCACATCTTCGGCTGCTGGTCGCCTTGTGGAGAGGAGTGGGGTTGTGCTGGGTTGTCTGCAGATTGGTTAGTGCCTGCTTGCTGTGCCATCGTCCCCTGTACATAGTACCTTCCTGCGGTGATGTCAGGGCGCGGCGGCATGCACGCTTGCAGGCACGTTTGGCTTGCATGTTGAGGCTGCTTGGCCTAATTAAAGAGGTTCCCCCGCCTGGGTGCGCGTGGTCGCTCCGCTTCCCTGGTGCAAGAACTCGTCCCGCACCAGGTCTCTCCTCTGTCGCGACTCCAGAGGAAACCCTCGCTCCAACCGTAGCATGTATAAGAACTAATGTAAAAGGTCTAGGGATGGGTCTAGGGCCTCCGGACTTGGGACCGGAGCGGCTTTGTGTTGAGGCGTCTTGTTGCGATATGCAGCTAGTAGGGTCACTTTTCTTAGGGCTAGGGGCTGAAGGATGATTATCAGGGTGGTGGTTCCTGCGTAAGGGCCTACTCGGGGCAGTCTGGGGATTAACTGGGGAAGCATTTGGCTGTCCTGCGGCATGTGCCGCCCGTCGGCCAAGGCAGGCCGAGGCCGGCAGTGCACGCCTGCATGTGTGGCGCTTGCGATGTCGGCAGGCTGCAGTTTCATGGCTGAAGGCGTGCATTGCTCGCATGATTTGAAACCTATCTGCACATAGGCTGCGTGGTCGTCCAATGGATCCCCGGTCCCGCCTTCTAGTCAGCGCCCGCCTCCTGTCCTCGCCCAGGATGGTAGGTGTGCGTAATGCGGTACTCATAGTCCGACCACTCACGCAGGAAAGCGCCCTGAAGGCGCTGTGTCGATAGGCTCTGGATCTGCTGCCAGGTGAGCTGGTTGAGCCTTCTGCGAAGTGCCCCCACTCGAGCAGCCATGGTACGGCTGTTGAGTGTTTCATCCTCCTCGCGTAGTTGTCTTCGGTACAAGTTGACGAATGCAGTTCGGGCTGATTCCAGCTCCTCATCTTCGGGGATGAGGGATGTTTCCGACCACCATCCCTCGCCTGGTGCCGCGTCGTCGTTCGCTGCTGCAGCGTCGTCAAGAGCTGGTTCGTCGTCTTCGGCAGAGCTGGTGGAGGATTCCGACTCAGAGGATTCTTCCAGAGTGCACGGGCGCCTTGCTGGTGTGTAGCGCGGACGCTCATCTTGCACTGTGGTTGTGTCCTCCGTATGCGTGGCCTCTGAGCAGGCTGGCTGGTCATCAGCCGGGTCTGGTCCATTAACAGGCCTCGGTCGAGGCGGTCCATTCCAGCGAAAGCCGGTGATCTGGTGGCAGTGGTCCATCGCGGCCTTCGTCCCTGGGCGTGTGATCGGCCCTGGCTTCGGCAGCGTCCATGCCGTTAGAAGCAGCGTCAGAATCAACAGCAAGCGAAGCATCGCTATTGTCTCCATCTGCCATACAGAAAACTTCGCCGAAGAGGAGAGAAGAACAAACAACCGCGAAGCAACCCCCAGAAAAGGAAGGAGACCCGAACCCACACAAGGGCACTCAGTGCTGCGAGCCGTGGAGCTTCATCTTCATCATCTGCATCATCTTCATCATCTTCATCACCTTCGTTGCCGGATTCATTGATTTTAATACCGCTCCCTCTATTCTTAAAGGTAATTTCATAGGTATTGTACGAACCATAATACAATCGATTTATCTTAACTACTATATCAAGAATAGCTTACCACATCGCATCTACATACTTTGTAACCGGGCTTACTATAAAGGCCCCATATGAGGGATCCATAATGGGTTTCTAGAAAGTCTCTCTATAAGGGATCTATAATTTTTTATATAATGGATTTATATAAGGCCTCTACATAGAGGATCTATAAGATTTCTATAAGCAATCTGTAAAGGTTTTCCAGAAGGGCTCTATACGAGGGATCTATACAGGGCTTCCATGTGGTTTCTACAAAAGGTAAGGAATATATAGCAGTTGTCTATGAAAGCTCCATGTAAGGGATCTTGTAAAGTTTTCTACAAAGAACTCCATTTGTTGATCTATACAGTTCTCTATATAGGGGATCTATAAAGTTTCTATACGAATCTATAAAGTCTGTCTATGAGGGCTCCATACAAGGGATCTGTGAAGGGATCTACAGGGATTCTTCATGGGAATGTATACCTTCGATACGGATAATTGTGCCTTTGTTAAGATCGTGAAGACTATTAACTACGTGATATCCTTCTTGGCTAATGCTGTGATCACATCAGATCTGATATGTATAGAGATACATTGGAATGCACATGGGAAAACAAACTGACACATTACAGGCCTTCTAATGTGTCATTATTCCTATTGAAACCTTAAAGGCAAGGAACTTATACACTGTAGGGCATCTGTATATTGGAAGCCCTCTGGGTAGTATAAATTGACGCATTACAGGCCCTCTAATGTGTCACTCCACTCCCTCCTATGGAACCTCTATTGCAATGGAACTTTTCCACTGGAAAACCCCTGGACATAATAAACTGACACCCTGCAGGCCCTATAATGTGTCGCTCCACCTATCCTATTGAAACCCTACTGATAAGAAATTGATACATCGGAAAGCACTTTTTATGGACATAACAAACTGGCACATTAAACCCACTATAATGTATATCTTCACTTCCTGGGTCCTGGACTGGGCAAATTGACATATTACATGCCCTCGAATGTGTCACTCCATTTCTCCTACTGAAACCCTACTAACAAGGAACTTATACACTGTCAGGCCCATGTGCCTGGGCATATCAAATTGACATATTACAGGCACCCTAATGTGTCACTCCACCCACTCCGATTGACCCTCTACTGACAAGGAACTTATACATTGGAAAGTCCAGGACATAACAGATTGGAACAATACATGCCCTGTAAAGTGTTACATCATGTGATATGGATGTGTCATGCCGTATGTATTCCCATAGTTTGTCATATAAACACATCCGATTCATGAGTACCGAACCTGTCAGGTTTTGCATTCTGGCCTGTGCGGAAATTACAAACAAATTTATGCCATATTACAGCGTGCATGCTTATTACGTGATTCTTGGGTGGATATGTCGTATGCAATTACTCAAACGCTGGCAAGTCAACAGTAAGTCGAATTGTGAAATATTGGGACAGGACAATTTTTCCGTGTTGCCGATATACTGCTGACAGTGCTATGCATATCTCCACGACGATACATCATTCCTGGAAGATGTATGGACTCTATACACTGAAATGTGTCGAATGTTTATTCATCGACAGTGTTGGGATCAACGCTCGATGTTCTGTTTAT